GCAAGCAGAAAAGCGTCTGCACTGTAAGAAAGATAAGCAAGAAGCCTAATATATAGTATCTGAACTTTGGAGAGGAGTTGGGGGACACACGACACATCAAATCACATCTACAGATCAAGACGAAGCTATTGAAAGTACTCCTAGCGTGTGAAAATGTTTGTGAAAAACGTGTGCAAAGTCTCCGAAAACGGAGCAGTGGCTGTGATGCTAGCTTTGCGGCTAGCGGTTAGTTGTTATTGTTTGAAGTTGTTGCTATGGAAACAACATGGCGGAGAAAAAGTATAATCTTCTACATATAATAACGGACAAAGTAAAGAATGAAGTGTAGGCTATGCCTGTTTGAAGTTGTTGCTAAGGAAACAACATGACGGAGAAAAAGTATAATCTTCTACATATAATAACGGACAAAGTAAAGAATGAAGTGTCGGCTATGTTTAAATGTTCGGAATTTGACCGTGATGGCCCTCTTGAGTTGCCGTAAAATATGACGAATATGACGGATGACGGATGCGACGGAAATACACCCGAACATATCTGGTAGCCCGAACATATCTGGTACTGACACCGGGACGCCAATACGGAAGTGCCACACACTGCAGTTCATATATTGACCGATAGGGACTGGCTGCAGAAAGGAGCAATTTCCATAGACCCCCATGTTAAAATGCCCAACTTTACAGCAGAAAAAAACATGTTTCTACCCATGGATGCCATACATATTATTATGAATATAGTTAGGTTCCACCTTCATGATTATGGATCTGTGAGTGAATTGTTTTCTAACACGACCCTTTTATTTATATTAGGTCTTAACGTTTTTGCATAAATTAGGGCGTGGTCACATTGAGTGACGGCTCTGTCAAGTGACTGCTGCTGCTAGCTTCTCGTCTCTCTGCTAGCTGCTAGCTGGGACTCTGCCTGCTCAGCTCATCCAGGGAACACAACTTGAAGCCGGCCGTGGTTGTTTGTTCTTCATGCTTATATATCGGACTATTGTGACTCGCTCTGCGGTTAAAACAGACGGTGCATGCATGCGGTTTTGCGGTAAGTGAAAATCGAGTACTTATTTATGTGTTAATGATTTTAATTGGCTACGTAATGAATGTTAAGGCTTGGTTTAGTGTGTAAGCGAGTGGTAGCTACATCGGTGCTAACGATGCTAATCGTAGCCTACAAGTTAAAATCATAGACTGTATATATAAAGGTTAAAACGAAATAGACTAGTATTAAGCGTTAAGTGGGATAATACTGTAGAAGAAACGGCTTCTGTTTGAGGTTATAAAATAAGGTCATCCTTGTAACTTAGAGAGATATTTTATTATGTAGGTAGGAACTGTATGAATCGCTAAGGTTAATTTAAATTGGCTATGCTCAAGTATGTAGACAAGCTTGTTTGTACACATGGTACTTTACATATATATATATGTTTGTTTAAGGTGTCCAGGTGATGCAGACAGGCTGGACCAGAGAGTGAGAGACAGAACTGGACTCCTCACAGCAGTGAACTTCAGCTCAGGTACAAAGACTCTATTTTTCATACTGTATAAACAATCAAGAAAGATATTGGTTTAAATGAATGAAGTATTGACTTTAATACACTGATATGTATTCCATTAAACAATACTAAATACTAGATCACAATGACTGATTTAAAATGCCATTTTCTTAATCTCTTTCATTTTTTGTAAAGCACTTTGAATTGCCTTGTGTTGAAAAGTGCTATATAAATAAACTTGCCTTGCCTTGCCTTACACATCAGTTAAGTTGAGGGTTTTTTCCATACAAAAGGTTACATTTAGATGTTAACAAGCAATATGACGTTGTTAGCTTTCTAATTTAATGTATTGAAGGCAAAGATATTTAACACATAGTGAGAACTGCTACTATTTATCTCTCAATATTGTCTGTAAAAAACGTGGTAAAAGTGATTCTTTCAGTGAGACAACAGAGCAAGCTTTTACAGCTGCACTACGTTTTGATAACAGTTAAATATTATTTTGATAATAACATATATTTCAATGTTGATGAACTTCATACTGTTCATTCATAATCTGATTGTCTTTGTAGCTCTGTTGAAATAAATAAAAAAACATTACAATTACAAAATAATTATATCGACAGCCCCTAAACACACAAACACACTGCTTTCATAAATAACACACTTGTTCTGCAATAATGTTTTACGTTTCCTGTCATTTTTGTTAGGAAAGGACATGCCTGAAAGACACGACATTTTCTCCTTCTCTGAGGGTCAAGAAGAACATCCAAGAGGAACATTAAAAGCTGATGTTATGAGATTTTAAGACCAGTACAGGACATTCACTAAGAAACTAATTTTATTGTAAAAACAGTCAGCTGATCGAATGCACCTATTTCCACATCTACACTCCATCAGCTGATTATTTCTATTTGCCTCACTTTATGAGCTTCACATCACTTGTGCCATGTACCGCAGAGTTTGCAACGTCACAAATAAATGGGGCCAATCTTCAGTCAGATGTGAATGTGTAATCTAACATTTTCAGTAAGAATAATGGACAAAACGAGTGCAAATACAATTTATTGAAATCTGAACCAAAAGTTAATCAAATGTTTTAAATAAAAAGCACATATGGACAGACAGGGTATATGCAGGAATCCTGAAGTCAAATGTAATACCTTTTAAGACCCTTTCCATACATTTTAAGACCTCATCGCAACTTCGAGTTCTAACCGGTTACATTGGCGACACACTTTACCTCACATTTACTATATTGATTGTAAGATAGCACAACTAAACAGAGTGCAGACAGACTACTGAAGCCTCCTCTCCACATGAACTTCAACCTCTCTGTGAAGGTCAGGTTTAATGCAGTATGCTGCTTTGTTGCTTCTGTACTCTGTGCTCTTTAATTCCAGTAGAACTCCTCAGAAAACCAAATGTAGAAACCAGTATTTGACCAATAAACAAAACAATTGACAAAACTTTCAACTATGAAATATATTAAACTTTGGTGAGCTTCAGCGGGGTAATGCCATATAGGAGCTCCCTCACAAATACCCAGGGGTTGAATTGGGCTGGGGCTGTCCGGGGCTAAGCCCGGCACATAGGACGATGCTCTGACGTCATCACCCTCACACATTTGTCATATGTTTACAAAAACGATATGTATGTTAAGACTTTTCTCGTTCTTAATATAGATTGAGACCTTACTTTAAATAGCAGATCTCTGTGACCGGATATAGTTTGGCTTAGACCCCGGCCCCACGAGGACGTATACAGTAAAACGCATACGCAAACGCAAAAAAGTTTTCCGTTCACACGCATTCGATTCATTAACGTGTCCGTTCACACTAGACCGCTGGAAATGCTGGAAACGCTGTAGTACATATGCCAGGCCTGTAAGTGGCGCTGCCGCCACAAAATACACCAAAAGCAGCTAAGAAGACCCCGGAGCATGGTTGTCATGGTTGCCCTTCTGTTTATTCTCCGCGGTGGACGGCGTGTTCTCCTGCTGTATATCTCTCAGGTAGTCCACCAGCAGATAACCCCCCCCCCCCCCCCCCCCCCACCACAGAGCGGAGCAAGGCAACGAAACTTAAAATAAGAAGCAGCATTTTATGGCACGCTATGCATGGGGCCACCTTGAGGGGGTTTCCCGACATGTTGTTTCAGTAAATTAAAGGGTATTTCATGTTGTCGTTGCTGTGGACCTTCTTAATACCTTGGAAAATGCCGTTTAATACTTTGTAATACTTTTTAATAGCCTTAATTTTCGCTAAATTGATTTATCTACTTTTTAAGACCCCGCGGACACCCTGGACAGAAGGTGTAAACCTATTAAATGTATAAGTGAACACATTTAGTCAAATAACGTGACAGACTGTGCAGTTGGTATCAGCTTTGCCCAGCATGGGCTCCTCCATCAGGCCTGGTCCTCCTCGCTGAGGAAAGACCCTCAGTCCTCTCCAAACCAACAGACAGGACGTCCATCACACGGAGGTTTCTCCCTGAAGTCTCTGCAGCTCTCTGGACACCAGGCTGTCTCAATCCGTCCACACTGAATATGAGAGGGGGAAAATGAAAATAATAAATGCTTTAGACAATAAGAAATATAAAGTTGACTGTTGAGTTGCTCAGTTTTTTTAGATTGTCAATACTATTACTGTATAACTAATAGCTCAGGTTAAGAGGCACATTCAAATAAAGATTGGTCTTTAAATACATGTTGTCTTTTGAATTGTTTGTCTAAAGTCAAGTATCTAGAACTGGTACTTAGTTTTAATGATACAGTCTGGTTATTATGCTGTTTGGAGGAGGCCTCAGGTAAGAGCACTAACTAGCTACCATCACATGTACCTTAGCTTGACTTAAATGTATTAAACGTATAATTAAGTGATATCAAAATATAAATAACTAATGTCATGCAAACATATTAATATTTGCTTGATTCCAGTGTTGAATTTAGCACAATTGCATACTGGGGGGGGCCTCGGGCTTAAGAGGTTAAAGGTGGGGTAGGTAATTTTGGAGAAACCAGCTCGAGTGCGCTAGAATTTGAAAATACACAGCCGGAAAAAATCTGCCACTTCCTTACAGAGCCCCTCCTCCAACACACACGAACGCGCACATGACCAATGAGGGCACGAGATAAGTTTGTGCACAGATGGAAGGCTGACAGGCAGGTAGGCCATCAAGTTATTTTAGCCGGGCCGGCTCAGATGATTGGTCGTGCTTTGTCAAAGCACTAAAGATATTCATTGCTATCGGGATGTTAAGAGCATTCCATGGAATATAACAAAAAGTGTATCTCGAGCCGGTTTCTCAAACTTACCTACCCCACCTTTAAATAGTTACTAAAAACCCTTGTCCCTATCAGTGCTGTATATGGACTGCATTTACGAGGTTTATCTGCGTTTTATTCAACGAAAATGACATACTTCATGTACACCTTAACTGGTAAATTTAGCAATGTCCTGAAATAGCAGCCTCTAATCTTGTTGTTATTTCTCCCTCTCAGTCAGAATGGCATGGGCTGGGTATCCATGATGGGTCGGGTGGGAGCCATGGTGGCCCCGATGGTGCTTCTCACGGCCGACTATCTACCTTGGCTCCCGGGTTTGATCTATGGCGGCGCTCCGATCCTCAGTGGAATTGCTGCAATATTTCTTCCAGAAACACTTGGCTCACCCCTCCCCGACACAATACAAGATGTGGAGGACAGGTAAGATCAGGTGGGACAGGATCTGTTCCTTCTTTACATCTCTGCAAATCAAAACATACATCTTTAGTAAAGTATACTGGAGGCATTTTAGACATTAAGAGAGAGAGACAGAGACAGATTCATCAATATTTTCATTTTCTATTTTGACCACAGGGGAACTGGGAGAAGCTCCAAAGTGTCACGAAAGGAAGCGATAATCCTGCAAGAAACCCAGGTGGATCTCCTAAAGCAGACGGCCTGAGGGCATATGGATTCTGCTTCTGAGGTTTCCCTGACATGTCAATGAACATATCTTGGTTACTGCTTTTTCTCCGGCCTGTTTATTAGTTTGATTTCAATAGAAAGCTTATTATGTTGTATGTCTGCTAGACAGGTGGAGTTGCAATAAGACAGGGTAATACAATGAAATGAACAGCTGTGAACAATTAGATCTGTGTGTGTTTGTGTTATAGGAGGATTTTAGTCTGGATTTGCATAAATCATGTTTTTATATTTTAGAAAATGTGCCTTCTACAGGTGCTTTGCTTTACTGGTATTTGTATAACTTCTTATTACTTGCAATCTTGTATTTGAAAACAAAACTATATTTTCAATCAAATCAGCACCTATACATTTAAGTCTTCTCATTCCCTTTGCTCTGTTGAACTGAAATACTTTGCACACTTCTTTATCAGGCTACTTTTAAATGGGCACTGTCTGATACAATTACTGAAACAAGTCAGACAAAGAAGTTTGTGACAAGAGGATTTACATTTAACTGGTTTGCGTCTGTCATTCATTGTCTGGGCCTTATGCTAAAATATCAATCAAGGTTCAAGGTTCTTTATTTTGTCATACGAACATACCCAGCTAGAAAATGTTGGTTCTAAAAACATTCTGAGAATGTTACAGTCATTGTTCTAGGAAGGTTTTCAGCGGGAAGTTTTTGGGGGGCACACTAACCCACTAACAGGGGTTTCAGGGACGGGCAGTGATGGTCGGTCCATTCTTCTATATGTCTGTCTTTGGTTTTCTAAGCGTTATTCGATCCATATGACAGTGCTTCTCAAAGTGTGGTCCGCGGACCACTGGTGGTCCGTGAGTGCCCCCTAGTGGTCCGTGAGTATATTTGTAACATTTCACATTTGAAATAAATAAATACATTTAAGTTTTCCGCACTCTCGCGGGAATATCTCCGCAATGGAACGAGCTTAATTTCCCCTCTCTATTGCATGATAAAGCTCAGCGCAACACCTTCATCGCACATGTTGCCACTTGTTTGTACCATTTTCAGGCGATTTATAATCTGTTCTAGAAAAACGATGTGTTTTGGAATATTTGTGGAGTTAGGTGGTCCGCGAGTGTTTTTTTATTGGTTAAGTGGTCCTTGGTATGAAAAAGTTTGAGAAACACTTCCATAGAGATATGTGCATAAACAACAAAAACACTTGGGGTATAATGTTCGAACAATGTTATCACCAAACATTTTAAGAATGTTTTTAGAGAACGTTATCCTACCTTTCAGAAGTACATTCTAGGAACCAAAATAAAACTTCTCGATGAAACCATTCCTAGAACAATGAATGGTAACATTTTCAGAATGTTTTTAGAACTAACAATGTCTAGCTGGGAACTCAGACATGCCTACGCAAACGTGCAATATCATGAATTACGTGCTTGTTTTCTTTTTTTAAAGGAAAATGTGGTGACATCATCCATCCATCTTCTCCCGCTTATCCGTGGTCGGGTCGCGGGGGTAGCAGTTCCTTGGTTGGTGACATCACATTTCTTTTAAACATCCTTTTCAAACAAATGCAGCAAGTTTGTTTTTTAACCCTTGTGTTATGTTCACATTTCGCACCCTTTAGTAATGTTCGGGTCAAATTGACCCGGGACATATTTCAGGGTTTAAAAAAAATACAGAACTAAATTCAACATGTACAATTCCTTATATATATTGTCTTTAACTCATTCCCCAACAATATAAATGAAATATATGATTAGTTTTTGAAAATACTCTTTGCTAGATCAAATGTAACAATGGAAGTGTCCATCGTTTTTTGTGATAAAAATGTAATTTATGTTAAAAAAAATACACTGTAATAAAAACTAAGTTTACATTTTGCTCATGCTTTTCTAGGACTAATGTAAAGGAAAGATTTTTTCATTAATGTTTATTATTTTTAATCTGTCATATAATAATCAAAGCCCTGAAGGAAATAAAGCAATTTAGCAGCAATTGGAACACAAGAACCACAGCCAAAAGTATTTGGCTGTGAAATAGAGAGAATGAAACATCCATATAAATGACATAGAACAGATATAAACACAAAGCAAATAAAAACAATTAACAGTCACTATTCATAAAATACAGTATATCCGAAAAATATATTGATGAAGTGACGCTGCAGAACATCATGTGAGTCAATGGGCAAGTCCGTTTAGGAAACACATGATGTGCAGAACTTCTTCGTGTGTATAGCACAGATGTACTTGTTGCAGTTGCTGCATGTAGTCTGTGTCTTGGAGTCCTTTGAGGGTCCACAGACCTCACAGCTGGCTGTGGGGGTCTTCTTGCGGCTGGCTGTGGGGGTCTTCCAGCAGCTGGCTATGAGTCAAGTTCATCTTCCAATTTGCTGTCAAATTCTGAGTTTACCTCCACATCTTCAGAAATGTCTTCCTGTTCCACTTCACCCTGTTCTTCTAATGCATTCCACTCACTCTCATCCATTATTAGCTCCAAGGCTCTGAGCAGAATATCTTTTGGCCATTTTGCTGGTAGATAATTGTAGTTTTGTACTACACTGTTACTACACTGAGGTTATGTCTCCGTTTAGTCCCTCCTCCGGCGTGCAGGTGCGAGGGGGGACAGTGCAAGAAAATGTTTATACATTTCTGGAAGATCTAAAATGTTTATAATGTTCTAGGATAGTTTTGTGTACACACTACAAAGGGTAAAGATCAAGGTGTGTGTGTGTGTGTGTGTGTGGTGTGTGTGTGTGTGTGTGTGTGTGTGTGTGTGTGTGTGTGTGGTGTGTGTGTGTGTGTGTGTGTGTGTGTGTGTGTGTGTGTGTGTGTGGTGTGTGTGTGTGTGTGTGTGTGTGTGTGTGTGTGTGTGTGTGTGTGTGTGTGTGTGTGTGTGTGTGTGTGTGTGTGTGTGTGTGTGTGTGTGTGTGTGTGTGTGTGTGTGTGTGTGTGTGTGTGTGTGTGTGTGTGTGTTTCTCTGTCTGTCTGTCCTGGTATTGTATCCGGGTCAGATTGACCCGAACCTCTTATGAAGGACATAAATGCAGGTGGGCATTTTTTCATAAGTGGAAACAAATAAAAACAATTCCACATGTCCTTCACAATAAATAAGCCCCGGCCATTGAGTTTCAGGTTGAACGAAAATATCCTTATATTTTTTTTGTATTCATTGAAAATGGAAATCGGGTCAATTTGACCCGAACACCACACAAGGGTTAAAGTGCACTACAAATACATCTGATGTTGACCATGACCCTGTTAATATTTCGCAACACAGGTACATTTTATAAAAAAATAATAACCTCCTGAAAACATTATCCAAATGTTGCTTTCAAAATGTTCTTCTTTGGTTATCATGTAACATTGAGGGAATGTTTTATAAAGAACATCTTTAATGTGTTACCCAACAACGTCCAAAACACATCCTTAGAATGTTGCAAGGAAAACATTCCACCTTTGTTAACATATCACATTAAAGGAACGTTTTATAAATAAACTTTCTGTCATCTCAGGCCTCAATAACATCCTCAAAACATCCTCTGAATGTTGCAGTTAAAACGTTATGTCTTAGTTAACCTTAAACCTTATAGGAACATTATTTGAAAAAATAAACATCCTAAAAAGGTTCTTTGAACATCAGATTAAAACGTTTCTTTAAAACCTTATTAGAACCAATAGGTAACGTTAGCCAAAGTTGTGAGAACGTTCCCCGCTAGCTGGGTAGCTACAGTGTAGTTATGTCGATTAAAATCTTTTGTCACAGGCTTCTACAGTGCAACACAATAACACAGATAAACTGAAAAATATAGTGCAAGTAAATAGTAAATGGTAAATACAAAAATAAAAATAGTTTAAAAAAGTGAAATAGTGCAATAAGAGTCTATTTGCAAGTTAGTTGTTTAGCAGTCTTATTGCATGTGGGATGAAACTGTCTCTGAGTCTGGTGGTTTTAGTCCGGATGCTGCGGTGCCGCCTGCCAGACGGCAGCAGACAGAACAGTTTGTGGCTGGGGTGATTGGGGTCTTTTATAATCCTGAGGGATTTCTTCCTGAGTCGCTGGGAGTAAAGGTACTCAGCTCTGTCCTGGTGATGTTCTGTGCAGTTTTCAACACCCTCTGTAAAGCCTTACGGTTGAGGGCGGTGCAGCTGCCGTACCAGGCCGTGATGCAGCCAGTCTCCGTCGAGGCGGCAAAAGTAGAACATTGCTCTACTTATGCAGCGAGCACCGCGAGAGAAGCTACGCTTTGCTCCCACAATGCAGTTCGGCGAATCGTGACGTCACCCCATTCAAAGTGAATGGGCAGAAGCGTTGAAGCGGCAACGCACGCCGCCGTGTGTAGGGGCCGTAAGGATACTCTCTATGGTGCACCTGTAGAAGTTGCAGAGTATCCTGGAGTCCATCAATCAATAAGTTAACAAAATTCAATCATGTAGAGAATTTTGTCTTTCAGTCACACACAGAACCTACTCCCGTTTTCATTTGACTGTTTCACTTCATGATCACAAGAATCCTCTGGTGTTCCATATTTTAGGTAAAAATGTCACCTAGTCTTTAATATTAATATTTTGAGTCTCACAGACGGTTTGAACATGTCTTTGAATGGACAAACTGAATCCATTTTGACTGTCAATGAGTGCATGACGGCAAATTCAATGGGCAGTTTTTTCCACTTCTAAAAAGACAACGTAAAGTATGGAAATCATTTGTGTTTTATGCTGAATAACTATAAGTGCTATGAGAAAGCCTGCACTGTGTCAGACTTTGCAACAAAAAAAGAATCACAAACAACAATTTGGACTTTTACTTTAACGTTTTGTGCTCTGGATTTAACACGGCTCTCTCTGAGGACAGACTCAGTCCAGAAGTGAGTATATATTTCCATTGTCTCTGCCAAAGAGAAATATCCATTTAGGCTAAAACCGATTTAAAATTGTAAAAAGAGATCTAAAAATACAGCAGTCAATAAACTGCTGCTTGTCAAGATGGAATAGTTAAGTAAATGATTCGACAATTTAAAATGCAATGATATATATTTAAAATGACAATAAGTTCTGTACTTTAATATCTCCTATTTATGACACAAAAATATTGAACCGAGTTTTAAAGTGAAGTATTTTTCAACTATTGATTGACCTTTAATTTTTATCAGGCTGCAGTTCAGTTGAACTGTCAACCGACTCCAAATAAACACAGCTGTAATTTTTATCAAACATTTACTTTTAGTATTCTCTTTACCTAATTGCAAATTTCTGACTGTGGTATTTCCTTTTAACCAGTGAACAAATAATGTAGATTTATAAACAAGACAACATGCAAACAATTATAGAAAAAGTTAAAGAAACTGACAAAGAAGTTACTAATGAAACCAAATCAGTTTGTTTGACCTCACATTCACAGACACACACTCTATCACCTTGTCATTCATGTTAGGTAACCAATAAAGGGCAGGGGAAAGGTCTCAGTGTGAAAGGTGAAAACAGCTGAGCATAGTTGTGAGCCCACCTTTGGTTGGAGCTCACTTGCACTGGAACTCTTCATCCGGACAGTGTCCCTGCACAGCAAGGACTCCACATTCTGCCTCAGTGTTTCCTGAACGAGTGGCTAATACCTCAAGAGGTTACATTGCACTTATAATCCAAAGTTCTGAAAAGCTGTTGGAATTTAAGAGCGGATTTAACAGACTGCACGAACAGCGACCATTTATTACATATTTTTGATTCGTTGGGCCTCGTTTTTAAAGACTTCCTTTTAGGAACACTTTCTAAGAATTCTAATTTAAATTGACTGCATCATGTAGTAGTGGTTTTAATGAGTGAAATGTTTTGTAGGCCAGCATTCTTATTGTTAATATTTATGTTTTGAGAAAAGATTATTCAGGAGGTAAGTCTTTTTGAATTTCAAATTATCCAAACATTTAAAAATTATACTTTATACTTGCACTTTATGTTTGGTATTTTTCACAGATGCTAGAACAACTTACTATTTACTTTTATGTTTTCCAAAATAACCTACCAACAACAGGATCTGCTGTCATTAACACAAAGTTAACTTGTGGAGTTTTTGTAGTACACCACTATGGGGTTTGGGGAACTCTTGGAGCAGGTAGGGAG